TGGCAAGGAGGCCATAGCAGTGGAGGCGTTCGGCAGGGCGTTGGCCCAGTTGCCGACGATAATCTGCGATAACGCGGGCTTGGATAGTGCCGAGCTGGTATCGCAGTTGAGATCGGAGCATGCGAACGGCAGACATCAGATGGGCATTGGTGGGTATTTTTGTTGTGTTGTTATTGTGTTTGTTGTTTATTTTATATATATAGTAATAATATATAAATATAATATGTATATTATTATTAGATGATGTTAGGAATAATAATATATACAAATATATGATATGTTATATACTGATGACATTATACTTATATATTGTTATTTATATATTGTAATTTTTAATAGTATATATTATTTTAGATATGTAATTTATGTATTGTTATTTGTTTTTATTATTTATTGTTATTATTATTAGTTTATGTTTATTAGTTATTTAATTATTATTAGTTATAATAGTAAGTTAGTTTAATTTACTTAATAGTTAGTAAATCTATAATTAGCTAAATAGATAGGTAATTATTTATTATTAATTATAATATATTAATTATTTAATTGTTATTATTGATATTTTAGATATAATAAAAGGGCAAATTGCTGACGTAGTGAAGTTAGGGATTATCGAGTCGTTTACCGTGAAGCTTTGTATGGTATCGAGTGCGGCAGAGGCTGCGGAACAGGTTTATTATTATATATTGTGTTTGTTATTATTATTATTTTATTTATTATTATTGTTATTATTATTATTATTTGATAGGAATATTTATTATTGATATGAATTTAGATTCTTCGCGTGGACAACATCATGAAGGCAGCACCACGTCCACGTGAGCCTGATAGGAGACCGTGTTAAGGGGTGGATTGGAGTTATGTGTTATTATTATTGGTGTTATAATAATAATAATAAATATTGCATAAAATAATATAATAATAAATATTATTTTATGTAATATTTATTATTGTTATTATTACTATTATTATTGTTGTTGTTGTTTTTATTATGATTATTGTTATTATGATTAATATTATTATTATGGCGATTGAGGCTTTACCTATGAGATCAATTAAGGATCTGAAAAGAGTTGCGCTCTTGCGGTGACATTTTTATTACTGTTGCTAGTTTTTATAGTAGTTATAATAATTATTATTAATTATTATGTTATTATTATTATTATTAATTATTGTTATAATATTATTATATTTATTATTATAATATTATTAATTACTATTTATTATTATTATTATTACTATTACTTTTATTGCCATTATTATAATTGCTTTTAAAGGAACTGCTGCTGCTTGATCTGGAAATTAATTATTGAAATGTGTAAATGGTGTGAAAATTTGATATTTTTTTGAAAATTAATTGTTTTAGATGATAAATTGTTGATTTTTTAATGGTTTTTATTATTGTTGTTATTGTTTTTATTATTATTATTATTGTTTTATTGATATTATGATTATAAAAATTAAAATCCAATGTTTAAGTCACATACAAACATAGTATTGGTTTTATTATTATTGTTGTTGTTGTTGTTGCTATGGTGCTGTAGCAGGTATGGAGCTGCAGGAGGAGGTTTAAGCAGACGTGTGGACGGGCGGACGTCTTGTGTGTATGTGTGCTTTGTGTTGTTTGTTTGTTATTGTTTTTATTGTTTATTATTATTTATTGTTATTATTTATTATTATTTATTTATTATTATTATTACTTATTATTATTTAAATTGTTAGTTTAGTGTAAGCAAGCCAACTTAGCTGGAATGGCGTTGGATCGTGCGCAATGGGGTAAGGAAAGTGGTAATGAGGTAAATTAGAGTTATTGTGACTGTGTTGTTATATTTTGAATTAGTTTTATTGTACAGTTATATATGAATTAGATAGCTGTATAGGTTATTAATAGTAAGTTATATTATTTAAGTTTAAGAGTATAAATTTGTTGTGTTAAGTAGAGTTATATTATTGTAAGGTTATACAAGTGATAGGGATGGTAACAGTGGGAGGAAGTGATAGTGACTGATAAGGGGATGAGAGAAAATGATAGCGACTGATAAG